CGGTAACTGGAATCGACTGAAGTGGTGGTCGTATACACCGGTCACCTTTCATCAGCTGGCACCGTGGACATCCAAGTACGTATCTTGCTACGTCTTCTCTCATACCTGGCCAGTACATACTTTGTCTTAGGAGATCGGTCGTTCTGGCCACGCCTGTATGCGCTAGCTGGTGACATTCTTCTATCATGTCGTGGCGCGACGATTGAGGTATGACAGCCAGCCAGCTTCCGTCGTTCTCTCGCCAGGTCAGAGTCCCGTAGGCATTCACTCTGAGTCGATCCCTCTGTCTGAGTAGTGTGGTTAGCTCCTTACTCGCCGTAGTTTGATCCACTTCTATTCCGTTGGTGATCACCTGTATTACTGTATTCAGCGTATCGTCCAACCTCTGCCTACGTGCAAGTCTTAGTGGGTCTTGTTCTACTGCATGCACTCCGTAAGCGACCTCGGGCAACTCAGACTCATCTTCTGGTCTCGATAACAAATCTGCCAAGACATTTTCACTTCCAGGAACGTGTGAGATCGTAAAATCGTACTCCTGAAGACGCAACATCCACCGTGACAACTTCCCCCGTGGGTCTCTCGCTGTCTTCAAAAATTGTAGCGGCTTATGATCAGTTTCGATGTGGAACCGCCGGCCGAGTAAATAAGGTCTCCATTTGTCGACTGCCCATACCATTGCTAAACATTCTTTTTCTATCGTTGAATACTTTCTCTCTGCGAGTGTCAAAACCCTACTGGCATACTCAACGATTCCCTCGTCCTGTCTTAGGACCGCACCTATAGCGTAGTCACTGGCATCTGTGCACACTGTGAACTGTCTTCCTGGCACAGGTAGTTTTAGCGTCATTTGTTGGTGGTCGAGCAGCTGTTTAATTCTGTCGAATGTCCTCTGCGATTCTTCCGACCAAACAAACTTTGGCTCACCTAGTAGCCTGTATAGAGGGGCTGCTATCTCATTGAAGTTCTTCACGAAGCGGCTATAAAACGCTGCTCTACCCAAGAATTGTCTCAGTTTTCTCTTTGAATTCGGGGCTGGAATCGTTTTAATCGTCAAAATTTTCTCCGGCAGTGGTTTAATCTCACCATTTCCCACTTTATGTCCCAACAGAGTAACATTCTTTTTGGCTATCTGGGACTTGGTTTTGTTGACGCGTAGTCCAAACTCTTCGATGCGTCGCAGCACGGCTTCTACATGGTTGACGTGATCGTTTTCGTTTTGACTGTATATGACGAGATCATCACCATAAACCTCCACGTTTTTCAAGTTCCTAAGTAATAGCTTCATCAGTCGTCTGAACGTAAACGGTGCACCTGCTAGTCCAAACGGCATGCGTTTAAATCGATATTGTGTCTGACCCACGATGAAAGCCGTCTTATCTCTATCACCTTGTTTTATCGGTATCTGCCAGTATCCTGAGCGAAGATCGAGAACCGAAAACACATTCGCACCTTGTAGGCGATCTAAAGTTTCTACCACTGTTGGCATGGCACACGGTCTTAACTCTGTCATACTGTTTAACTGTCGAAAATCAACACAGAATCTATACTTCCCATTCGCTTTTTTTACTAACAGCACTGGAGAGTTGTACGGGCTATCAGCTTCCTCAATAATGTCATCTTTTAACATCTCTTGCACTTGTCGCTCCACTTCGCCTTCCAGATGACATGGAACTCTTCGCGTTGTAAATGACCTTACTTTCGGATCACTTAACGGAATTTCATGATTCACCTTATCGCAATAACCGTATGGGTCGCCATCTCCAGTGAACAGATGATCGTATTTACTAATTAACTCTGTCACATTGTGTACCGTCGGCAGCTTAATCGCTGCTATCTCGCTGGTCTCATACATGTTGATATGCCCGTATTTCGTGACCACCACGTTCGCTTGCGTGTCGATTATGGCACCAATCTCACGCAGAAAATCCGCTCCTAATATCGTTCGCTGTAGTTCGGGTACAACAATGAAAGGAAACGTCACCTCGCAGCCACCAACAACGACCGTACAGTTCGATCTACCCGTTATACGCAACACATACCCGCCTACTGTTTGTACTGTCAATGAACACGGGCTAACACTCTTACATAAATTCTTATCTATTAACGACACGGCCGCCCCTGTATCTATCAAACATACTACTTCTCGATCATTCACTCGCAACTTCGAATACAGAGCGCCTTTCTCAATAGCCCCCACTAAATCTAGGTTCATACGAAAGAAAGAACAAGCATTATACCGTCTGAAATTTTTTCTTTTCCGCCTTTCTGGGCAGTATCTTCTCCAGTGTCCCGGCTTACCGCATTCAAAACACCGGTCTTTTCTATCAGCCAACTTTAACGCCGCCACTTCCCGCTGCAATGCTTCAATTTTCTGCTCATACTCGTTTGGTTTTGGTTGGTCTATAGCGGCTACCGTTGTGCTCAGCAGCTGTCTGGTCACCTTCGCCAGCTCGCTAATATCCATCGGCTGCGTTGCGTTAACCAGTTGTAATCGCTGAGAAATGTGGTCTGGGACACTCTCGATGAATTGGGAAGACAGTAACTGCGCTTCTGATTCTTCATCTAAAGTGGGAAGTGCGCGTCGAAGTAGATTAGTCAGTTTCACCGCCAACACTAGCGGGTCTCCATCAGGTCCAAGCTTCATTGACCGGAACTGCTGCATTGCTAGCTGTCTGTCTGTTTCGCTGTCAAACTCGGAAACTAGTCGTTCAACCAATTTCTTCCAAGACGCTGTGCCATTTGACCTGTCTACGCTGTCATATGCAGCCTTCGCTCGGCCTCTCAACAGCGTCCCCAAGACAACTGCCTTCGCTGCCTGCTCCTTGACACCCACCAGCTCAGCAACAGCCTCGAAGTCACGTAAGAAGCTCCTTATGTCTCCTTCTTCAAACGCAGCTGGCCACGGGATCTTCATTTTCTGGAGGCAGCGACACCAAATGTAACAACAGAAGACAAGGGCGAAGCAACAGATCGTTTTATTATGAAAATCAACACGTATTTATACATCTTTCAACTACATTATTATAGACAAGCGCAGTCATCTGATTGGTTGTTTAGGTAGACAAACGCAGGCTTCTGATTGGTTGTTTCGGGATTCCTTGACAAATTTAGAGTTCTCAGCGAATCATATTTTGCCACGTTAACTTTGCTGTGATTGGTTGTTGACTCAGGCTTGTTCATATTTTCTCACGGCCCATATTAGTGACCTAGACCTTAACGTAGATTAGTGCCAACCAATCGGCTAGCAGCCTGCTCTCACCACACCACAAGTACTGTTTCTGGAATAAAGCGAAATTGTTAATTGTTAAAAAAAAAACTCGGGAAGTTAGCAGGGTTGACCGAGTGACAGAAGTCGATCAGGTGTTCCAGAATAGAGCTTCGCACACACTTCCTTTCTCCCTTGTAAAACCAGGCTGGAATATGTTCTCGTATCCGTGTGGAGAGCGTTCTCTGACTACGGCCAATGTACCTTGCTCCACAAGAGCAGGTGAACTGGTAGATGCACATGGAGGCGGTCAGACGGAGGAGCTTATCTTTTACAGAGGTAGAGAACAATTTTCGGCTCGTGAACGTCATATGCAATTTTGCTGCAAAGAACGTCTTACTGACTGATTTAGAGAGACGATTTTTGAGCATATCTGAAGCTTGATCACCTTTGAATTCCAAGTACGTGAATAAGGTTTTCTTTGGAATTGAGTCGGTGACCAGTTTAGACAGCTTATCTTTCATGTTGCTGTCAATAAATCGGTTAGGATAACCGTTTCCTGCGAGTGTGGCTTTAAAGAAGTCAAGTTCTGAGTCAACGCAATCAGAACTACAAATTTTCTTTATCCTAAAGCAGAGTGAATGAATTAGGTTCCTTTTCCTGGAGATAGGCACCCAGCTGTGAAAATTAGTTAGTTGTCCGTTCCATGTACGTTTCCGATGGATAGATCTTTTGAGAGATCCGTCATTACGTCTGCTAAGGCACACATTAAGAAAAGGAATACTTAGTTCGGATTCCTTTTCTATGGTGAATTGTAAAGAAGGATGGCAGTTGTTGAAAGCAAACAAGAGATCATCGAGAATTACGTTATTATCGCAGATGACGAAAGTGTCGTCTACGTATCTTTTATAAATGTTAAAATGACCGATGGTTTGACTAAGCTGAGAATTTTCAAGCTTTGCTATAAAACAATCAGCCAACATATGACCCAGTGGTGATCCCATGGCAATGCCATCTCTCTGTCTAAAGATCTCATCATTGAAGGGGAACTGAAAATTCAACGTACATCTCAATAAAAGCTCTTTGAGGTGGATTGTCGGCAAACCTATTTAATGCTATCAATAAATTTAAACGTATCATCCGTAGAAAATTTAGATACTTGCCTTCTGACTGGTTCCAGTATTTCGGCTAGCCATTGAGCGATTACTTGATAAGGAGAGCCCGACATATCGAGGATTGGACGGAGGGGTAATCCTTTTTCATGTATTTCCGGTAGTCCATAAAAACGTGGTATCGTGGAGCCTACTGGTCGGATGCGTTCATATATTTCTGACAAGATCGCTGAATTATTCCTCATGCTCTTTAGGACATCAATCAGTTGATTTTCAATTGGATGTGTCTTGTTCTTTTCACCATCGGGTTTGGCGAATTTCGTTTGATCAGAAAGGATCGCTGAGATTTTATCATTATAATCTTGGCGATTCATAACTACAACACCCCCACCTTTGTCTGAACGGCATATGATGATATCATCATTCTTTTCTAGTTCTTTAAGTTAAAGTCTGTTGACTTTGGACGAACTGTTACAGAATTTATAATCACAAATATTTTAATTGCATTTCATACTATTATTATTTCATGTATTCAGACCTTTGACCTAATTCCCTCACCGGATATAATTTCTTTATAAAACCATATATATATATATATATATATATATATATATATATATATATATATACAGCTTGATAACAAATTCGTTGAAAAGAGTCTCTTCGCTGAATATTGTGCTCTTAATGCTACAATGGGAATTATTAAATCATTGAAGAAACACAATTCACTTGGTACTGTCTTGTAGTTGTAAATTAGAGGTTGTTGGTTAGATTAATTTTAGCAACCTATGCATCTACTGAAACTGTCTGAGCTTTATTATCGGTGAAAATTTGATTGGATTGATTAGTTACTCTGGTTGTTTATATTTTGTGGAAACTGGCCTCATTATAAAAGGTTGTATATGTGTGAGTATTCACTTTTGATTTTGTTTTTTCGGACACATTTATTAAATGTTCAACCGATACGGTAATAAATACAAAATACCTCAGTGGTGAAATGAAGTGTTTTAATAATAATAATAATCTGACAATTAAGTATAAATTATGCATATTTACAATGAACGCAAAACCATCAAATGATCTATTGAGCTTTGACTGTAAGGTCTTATCAACAGAAAAAAAAAAACATCTTATTGGTAAGAACAAAGTTGTTTGAGACAGTAATTTAAAATTTGCTTTATTCTGATGCACGTTTAGAAATGTGTGCACTTTATATATATATTTTTTATTTTTGTTTACAGCTTGGTTCCACACTGTATTTGTGGTACAAGTATGGAATTTTCAGCATGGATATCGGTAGCCCAAAATTCGCAGGCCGACCATAGATATCAGGTGTGAGTCGGCGTGGGCTCGAGCCCCGGACCATGTGCATGATCGGCGAGAGTCCTAACCACTGTGCCACCGACGCATATAGAAGAAACTAATTATTTTCTCCCTACCTAATGAAGTATTTACCACTATTCTTAACCTAATCACTTTAGCATGACACTAATTTCAGTGTAGTTAAACTATCTGTACTTAGACCATTAGGAAGCTGGTTAATTAATACCTTGATAAAGTAGATAAAATGGATAGTTAAGTTACAGTATAAATTTGCTATATATATACAAATTCTTGAGAATCCAGGGAATAAGTGAATTCAGTCAGTTTTAATCTTGCTGTTTTACTTAAAGGTATATCATAAATAGACTTCACCTCCTTTAGAACGTCTCTACAGAATTTAGCTAATGATTAGTTAAATGCAACTAATCAAACATGTATAGATTTGTGTTATAGACGAAGAGTAACACCTACTGTAATGCCATGTCTGCAAAGCCATTGTAAAAAAAATGTTGGAGCTCAATAATTTTCTCAGATTAGATGTCTATGAATAACCAACCTAGTTCTATTAAGTGTTGATCTACGTTTTCTCTCAAATATCTGTGAATTAGTCCACAGCATTCAGTGTGATTGATTGTTTACATACAACCATTTTGAGGAAAAGGGTAATTGCCTTGTCTTCATATGCTTTCCAATTTATCAGGTGTTTAGAATAACAGACAATGCATAGACGATAAGAAACACAATCCTTCAGAATTAGATAAGAAAAGGCGAAATAAGTAAGAAACTAGGCATCAACGATCACCAAACAAAATAAGCAAGATGTTTATGTGTAAATGACTAGGTGCTCTTCTTGGCTAACGTTCAACTACTTCACTTCTTACTACAATAAGTGATTTTATCAATGACTTACTAATTAATTTAGGTGACCCAAGATACTTCTTTTTTAAAAATAAACAACAGGCCTTGAACTCTTTTTTATCACTTGTCAAAAATTATTTTCAACAGTTTATTGACAAAAAAAGAGAAGAAGATTCCTGAATGTGCATTGATGAAGAAGAGAGACAAGTTAAGTTAAAGAAAAGCATTATTACATATATGCATGTATGCAGTCGTGTCTACAGGGGGAAAGCATACAACACATCGTGGCAATAAAGGCAAACGCATTTGGTGATGGGATATAAATTCTTTGAAAAAGAAAGAAAGGAGAGAAAGAACAACGTGCAAGCAAACAACACAAGAGGCTTGAACAAAGTAGTGCACATACACAAAAGTGAGCAAAGACAGGAGCAGGATAGTTAACTTTACAATCTATAGACAATAAATGGTCCATATTAAAAATTAAAAATCAAAACAGAGAAAAGTATTGAGATTAAAAAAAAAGAGATGGACAAAAGAAAGAAGAAAAAAGAAAAGAAACAGAGTAGTTTATCACAACTTTGAAATCTGCAGCGTCATATGACGTACATTCCAAAAGAAAAACTTGAATTCATTCTCAAAACCATGACCAACGCACATACATACACACACACACACAAAAGAAACAATTACATGTACAAATTATTTATATATGCATATTAAATTCTTCTATGTCTAATATAAAAAATAAATAGTAATAATAATCCAGCTAAAAATGGTATTGCATAAAAATCCCAATCCATAGATGTTGTTTTAGGATTTGTTGTACTTGACGATGAGTCAGCAGTGTAACTTGATTCTGAATTCTCCGGCGATTTACTATTAAACATACGTCCAATGTAATTGAACTATTTTTTTTTTTAAGAAAAAACAAAAACCCAGGGGGAACAAGAAGATAAACAAAATTATGTATTCATTAATTATTGAATCACTTGAAGAAGTATCCGAGTAGATTTCCAGTAATAAAAAATTACTATTATTGTTAATATTATTAACTATGATTTATCTCTTTATAATGAAATAAATACACAAAACAAGTGTGCTAGGTGAAATTTTAATAATATTTCCTAAAAGTATATACTTTGCAATTACTTCCATAAAAAGCTGTCTGATTGCAAAATGCGTTAACTACAGACTGAGTCAGTGGTCGATTGAAAATGTGTTTTAAAAACTCGAGATGAATAAGGCATGAGGTCATATGACTTAGTCACGTGATTACTAGTCAATATACTAACAGGAATATATATATATATATATATATATATATATATGACGAGGATACAAGTCACACACTTGCATTAAAATCCATTTACTCATAATATGGTGTGTTAAGTACATTTATACCTATACATAATATAGGTGAATAATAATCAACGAAATAAAAGAAAATAACTAAACGAATCTGTTTGTCTGTTTTCGACATAGGACTTTGCACAAATGTGCGGCAGTTCAAGTCGCCACACTCCATGTAGCATACACAGAAAGACAAGAAAGTACAAGAAAAGCATAATAGAGACAGTGAACAGAGGTGTGAGACAAAGGAAGTAATAACGAAGAACAAAACAGTTTCATCGGAAATCATAAGTCACAAGGAGTGGATGCATCTGCACCACTGAGAACGATTTTGAGCCATGTCACCAACTGTTTCCAACCATTGATTTTTACCGTCCCGAGGACCCCAGCCTGGAAGCCAGTTTACACCTTCCTACGTGGCTTAGACCAACTGTTGTGGATTTCATTGACTGGTGAAGCCATGTTTTGGTTTGACCGCCGCTAGCTTTTTTCAAGCCTGGCCCTATATCCGCTAACATTGCTCGTCGAGGGAGGCGATGACTTCGCATACGCAACACATGTCCTAACCATCTCAGTCTTTGTAACTTCACGACTTCGTCGACTGATTTCCCCTGTTTACCTAGAACTCGACGCCTAACTTCAATGTTGCTCACCTTATTATGCCACTTTACACGGGAAATAGAGCGCAGGCACCTATGATCAGAGACAGCTAGTCTTTTCATGTCTTCCACTCTCGGTGGCCAGGTCTCACAGCCATAAAGGAGGACGGAACGGACTGATGAGCAGTACACCCGCCCTTTGGTTGATAGTCGAACATCTCGTCTACACCAGGGTTGGCGTAAACTGGCAAATGCGGAACGAGCCCCCTGTATTCGTGGTGAGATTTCGTCAGAGATCAACCCGTTGGCGTTGGCTGATTGTACTTCCCAAATAAGTGAAGCGGTCAACGTGCTCTACCACTTCACTTCCTATTTTTAAACTAGGAGTCGCTGTAGTCCAGTCTTGTAACATCGTCTTACATTTGGCGGGAGCGAATCGCATTCCAAACATTCGTAGATTGCTGCTCAAGGTGTTTAGAAGACTCTGCATTTTGTCAGAGTCGTCGCCTAGAAGGACTATATCGCCTGCATATTACAAGTCAACGAGATTATTCTTTGGTAGCAAGTCAATCCCTGTGTCTCTGAAGTGAGTTAGGGTTAAGTCCATTAGTACATCTATGATGAAGTTGAATAGAAAAGGGGATAATGGACATCCTTGACGGACACCACTAGTCGTCACCAGTTCAGATGACAGCTCGCCGTAAGCCCTCACCTGGCTGTATGAGTTCGAGCAAAGTGCCTTAATCAGTGCAATATATTTTCTCGGTATTCCCTTTACAGCAGCCAAGCATCTCCAGAGAACCTCCCGGTCGACAGAATCGAATGTCGCCTTTAGGTCAAGAAATATAATGACTGTTGGACGCCGGTAACAATCCCTATGTTTTAGAATCTGTCGAAGCGTGAAGATATGATCAATACACCCTCTTCCTGGTCTAAAGCCTGCCTGGCTCTCTCGTGTTTGTGCCTCCCGAGCACCACTTAGTTTATGCGTGATTATTGAGCCATGGCACAAAAACTAAGTCAGGGTCAAAGAGCAATGTAGAATACTTGATATTAAAGATCGAAGTTAAAAATATCTACAGTTATCAATCACACACTTTATTTGCTTATTATTCCCTTGAGTCCCGAGTGCAGCATAGACTTTCACCAGCTCATCTTTACCTCACCCTCTTCTTTGTAGTCCTTTTTAGGTGACTTCACTATTGCCCACTATTACGCTTTCATCCTCTCTTCACACGGTCTTCATTATATCATCTGTGGATCCACAGCCAACTTGGGTTCCACTCGAGGTCACGTCTGGCGCATGAAGTCACCTAATGGTCTCCTTAGCGTAAGTTCAATCCACTTCTATTTTCTCTCACATATTTGTTGAGCAATAGGTCCTTGATTGGTTGGTTCCCAGAGTTCCCTGTTTCTTATCCTTTTTGATCATCTGATCTTCGGTATCGAGCGACAAAAGTTGTTGATGAAAGTCTGAAGCCTGAGAATAATTTTATTTGATATATCACATTTATTTACAATTTCTTGCTCGTATCAAGATAGATAGCTACCTACCTACTTTTAGTTTTATTTAGGTAGATAGATCTGTTATTTGTGTTGTGATTTGAAGATATATTATTAGTTATTGTCTATTATTACTATCAATCAGATCAAAGGATGAGACATAGGAGAACTTAGTAAACAAGAACTGGAAGTTGTACGAATACCCTGACATAACTACTGGCAATAAACTTAGCTCTAGAAGTAATAATAATAATAGTAACAGCTTTATTCCAAACGGTATTTGTGGTACAGGTATGGAATTTTCAGCGTGTATTACAGTATATTGCATCTAATTACCTCATAAATTATATAAGATTTTTAAAATCAAAAGATAAATAAATAAATAAAAATAAATAATAGATAAATAAAAATAAAAAAATAGCGTAGAGTTTACATTTCAAACAATGCACCACAGGATTTGAAATATAAAGTTGATGTGTGATAGAAGATGTGAACAACAGTGCAATAGTAATGAAGAAAAGAAAACAAAAACTAATGGGACTATCTGTTAGAGTGCCGCAGTAAGTTGATCGTGTCATACCTAACGGATTTCTCATCACATAACATCTGTAGATATGATATCTCATGGATGTCTTCCAAAAGAATGGATATCCCCGGAATTTCATCAAGAGACATATACCCCCAAGCCAACCTACCAAAACAAAAGCCACCAAGGAAAACACAAAGAAAATCGCCTTACCATATATAAAGGATATCTCAGAAATCACTAAAAGACTCTTCAAACCTTTAGGAATTGACGTCGTACACAAACCAACAAAGTCGCTGCACTCAATTCTATGTCAACCAAAAGACTCAACAGCAAAAGAAGACAAAACCAACATCATCTACAAAATAAACTGTAACAACTGTGAAAAACACTACATTGGCCAAAGTGGACGTCCCCTTCGTCTTCGTATCCACGAACATAAGCTAGCCGTCAAAAGACATGATATACACTCCCTCATTTCACTACACACAGACAACCACGGACATCAATTCGACTGGGACAACGTTCAAATATTAGACAAAGGAAATAACAAGAATGCTAGAGAATTTTTAGAAGCTTGGCATTCCAGTGGATCATCAATCAATAGACACATCGAGATAGACAAAATTTATCAACCAATAAGAAAGAAACTTCACACACGATTGGCCAAAGTTCAAGTCACAGAAACAATCAGTTCCAACACAAGTAACCTAGAAGGTGTGAAAACATACATAAACAACCAATCACGTCCAAGGTCACCAGGAGGAATGATTAATAAACTCGTGGAGAAACCTAAAAGCTCACTTCAATTTGAAGTATGCGCTGAAGATGTCACCCAGTAAGGTGATGAAAGCTTCGCAAACTAACTATCCAGCTCAGAGAACAAAACCACATCAAAACATAACATCTGTGCCAGATATGGTTTTGTGAAGTTTTTGTATTTGGTGGTCCTAGCATATAGCCGCCTATAGCTGCTTCTAGTTCTACCAGATGAAATGCAAGGAGACAGTTGAGTATAGAGAGGATGCTCGGGGTCCGACAATATTGTATTCGCTAGTTTCTTACATGATATAATATGTCTATCTACAATAGTGTTAACCAGTTGGTTTAACGTTATTAGTCATTATTATTAGTCATTAGTATCTCTAAATAATATGGCATCACTGTGTGCTGTATCAAATAAAATTATTCTGTTATGGAATTCTCCCAAATTAGTACACAGTTCAGTTTTAAACTGTATACAAATAAAAGAAATGTATGAAGATATATGCTTCTCGATATAAGGAACACCCAATTAAAATATTTCACTAATAAAATAACTAGAAGAATGTAGTATAAAAACTGTCCACAAGTATAACGGATATCTTAGAAGAATTCGATTTCACTAGTAGGCAACATGAGTTCCACTCTATGAAACATAATTTATCCTTAAATCTCCGAATGAGAAGTCTTAACAATAATGAGACCAAAGTTTGAAGCTATTGTAGTGTCGACCGCATGCACTTAATTCTACAAAAAATGTATCCTAATGTCGTAACACTTCACTCAGTAATGGAATTGTACTTTTGCTAGAACATCGTTCGGTAACCGTTTAGAAACGGACAGTTATGTTAACCAGAGGGACCGGTAACTTAGCTGGTTTTCAATAGTAAATTTAATAACCACAATTTTGTGGAAATTCCCTCGTCGTACATCCATCATATTTTTTCTTCCTTCACGTTCCCCAGTGGAACATAGGGCTTCAAGCTAGTGACTTGAAGTTTCTGTAGTAGTGTTTATTTTACAGGATGAGGTTGCTAGCCTCATGCCCAACCTTTCCCTCCTTACCAGCATTTCTGGCTTAGCGAGGTAAAGGAGTTCGTCGGCCGGGGATCGAACCCCGGACCGTGTGCATGGTCGGCGAGCATCCTAACCGCTATATCACCGACGCACTTCATCATATTTAATAAAATTTAAATAATTCAATCCTTGTGCAAAGGTAAGTAAATAGAGGAAAGAAGTAAACAAATAGACAGATATGACTGACTGGTTTCTAAGTAGAACTTTGCACACATATGCAGAGGTTTAAGTTGCTGCACTCCACGTAGCACACGAAAGATGACAAAACAGGAAAAAAGGAATTTGGAAGTACGATGATAAGCAGGAATATGAAGGTCAAACAATAGTAACACAGGGGTTTTTCCGGATCACAGGGAGTGGATGCATATATATATATATCTGAAAACGATTTTGAGTCATATAACCAGTTGTCTCCAACCATTGATTCTTAGTATCCAGAGGACCCCAGCCAGGAAGCCTACACTTCCCTTTGAGGATCAAACTAACTGTTGAAGATGCCATGGACTGATGCTATATATCTGTTTGATCATCACTAGTTCTTTTCCAACCTGATCCTCTGTCAGATATGAGGAATATTCATACATAAAACCAAATGAATAAAAACTTAAAACAGTGTAAACAAGAAAAACAAAATCCTAAAGGCACTTACAAAGCTGGATTCACTGAAAAACTCCATAGCAAAATAAAATGCAAGGCGTATTAAAGCCAGGCACACAGCTATCCGTGCATCAATAGAGGCTTCAGCAGCCATATCGTAAAATCGTTTGGCCAAATGTAGATCCTAAAGAAAAACAACCGAAATCATTTCAGTTGTGAACCAAAACAAACCAAAAAAATATTAAAAAGATTTTAACAGAATGGCAAGGTGAATATGATCAACAAATATGTAGGAGAAAATGGAGATGGAACAGGCATACATTGAGGAGGCTGTCGAATGACATTGAGCGCCAGGCCAACGAACGCTGAAGTGGAATCCTAATGGGGAGCGACGAGCTGGTCGTCCTAGGGTGACATGGAGGAGATGAGAGATTATGGGAAATCGTGGACCCAGCTGAAGAGGATGGCACCAAATAGGACGAAGTGGAGATGTGTTGCTGAAGCCCTATGTTTCACTAGGAACTCAAGGGAATAATAATAGTTATGACCTGGTAGTCCATGTAAGCTAAGTGTATGTGCACATGAAGTGGTAATAAATTTTAAATAGGTTCATGACTGAAACTGTCCACTGATGTTGTATGTCTATGTGTGTATGTATGTCTGTAAATATAAGCATAACAATAAGTCAACTTAACAACACAAAAATCACCCCATGCTGATGAACTATGATTAAGTTATTATATATAAGCTGAGATTTTGTAAATTCTGGTTTAATAATACTTTGATAAAGCTATTAACATAAAGTAGTGAAACATCAGTAAAAACAATATCGTTTTGTTTTTTCATTCACTGGGAAATACAAAAACTTTTATTATGATTTATTCACTCCAAAAAAGAAAATGGACTTTATTAACACATAAAAATAAAATTTAAGTGTACACTAAATATTCTAGTGATAATATATTAAAAGCTTACGTAGGTTTAGACAGATAAAATATGATTACTTACTCGTTTCAGCCCTAATCCTTGTTCATGCATGTAACCCAAGTTAAACATCGCTTGTGCATTGTGATGCAGATCAGAGGCAATTCGATAATGTTGGATAGCCTTCTGATAATTAGCATCAGTACCAAGTCCATAGTAGTAATAGTCACCTAACTTTACACGCGAACTTGTTGAACCTGAAAAAAAAACTACTAAATTTAATCAACAAAGACTATTCAACATATGAGGTCAAATAAATTGTTTCACTGACAATATAACATGACGCAACGCCTATACGCGAGATATGGAAAGTGGCAACAAACAACAAAGGGAAGTTGGAGAGACGGAAAATATATGCAAGGCAAATCGTGAAACTGTGTGACTAAATTAATATGATTATGAGCAATAATTTATGCTCGAAACGTCATTCAGTTGTTCATACTGCATCAATGAGTGGTGTTTACAAATAAACTCATCTAATATGGCACTACATTCTATCACAGTGTCAAAGTTCTACACTTACATTAATATAAAATAAGAACAGGCGTAATTTTATTTCACCAAAGTCAAGTTACTGAACCCATAGGCTTACATGAAATTATCATAATTAGCAGAAACGGCTTATCAATTGGGGCCCACTAGAGAAAACGCGAACAATACTGACTCGAATACAATTCACCTGTGCCTCATCATAAGATGATGATAGACAGTGTATGACTCTGGAAATTATACACAACGAATAAAGTAGTTTGGTGAAAAGTCACGCCAAACATCCCAGTTACCCAAGAAATCTAGTGTTCAGGGGAACAAGTACTCTGGACACCTGTCATCAGCCAAACGTTACGAAGCAGCAATCCACGACTTCAGGTGAAAAGCAATGGAAATAAATCGTACGGTAAAACAGTCACTCTTCACAAATGGGTACAATAAATCTAAAAAGAATGCTGAGTCTAGTTTTCATTGCTGATCATTGAGGTTTATTGAGAAAATCAAGCACTAGCACCTTATCAAGTAGTACGGCTTAATATTACATGATTTCTCATTTAAGTAAGCCTAGCACACTTCACTTTAAACTAGTGTTATACATCGTATTTCTGAATGATCAAAGATGTGATATACAACATTAAAGCATACCAAACAAATTCCATATAAACTAAATAAATAAGTAATGTATGTATGAACTGAAGTGTACAATAACGACAAACTAATCATCTAGTAAATCTCTGTATACCAATCAATAAATTTATATTTATGTCGTGAAGACTAAAAATAGATCACGTGAACATTACCTTGTGTTGCTGATCTTTGCCATTGAGTAAACGCACGTTTATGAAGTTCATGTTTTGGTACACCTGGAGCTTTATCTACAAATACGTGAACCAAAAAAGAAGAAAAGAAAAATACAATAACAAATGATGACAGAAAAGAGATAACAAAGAAGTGAATAAAAATTCATAAGATCTAACGCAAAATAACCACAGTAAGTAACAAATACAATTCCCTAGAATAATTGACTATATTAAATTGATTTGAATACATTAGGGGTATGTATATCGATTACCTTCATAAAAGCTATCATACATCGATTCCATTCAATCACGCGTCCTCAAGCTAGATCGAGCAATTCGACATTGCATCACCTCAGAAAAATTTTTAGAGGTGTATATAGCATTTATTATTAATATTGCTTTAAGTTCCGAGTGGAACACAGGGTTTCAGCAGACCATGTCTCCATTTCATCCTGTTCTCTGCAGTCTTTTTTAGCTGGTTCTACTGTTTCATTCCCTTCTAACACGATCTCTACCATATCACCCTCGGACCCATGATTAACTCATTCTTTTCCATTCTGGTTACATTGCAGGTTCTGCCTGATTTCATTCAAATGTCTTCAATCTATCTCCATATCGTTCTTCACATTTGTTGGGCGACAGATTTTTGGTTAGTTATAGTTGCCAGAGCTCCTTGCTGCTAAGCCTTTCTGGCCAGCCATCTTATATCTTCAGTATGAAGCCTGAGAAGACAGCTATTAATGAAAGTCTGAAGCAGCGCATTGGAAATGCTTTTCATGGCGTGCAGTTTTTGAATCATATAAATATTAGTTTCGAAGGTCCAGATTTTGTTCTTCATGCTAAGTGCAGATTTCCATACTGATTTCAGAGTAGTGAAAGTTTATCTAGCCTTCCCAATCCTGACTTTGATGTCTTCATTTGCACCGTCTGTAGTTGAAGTGATACTGCCTAGATAAGTGGAAGAAATGACATCCTGTAAATCCCTCGTATTGATGGTGATTGGTGCTTGTTGTGGTTGGTTGGTTATATTTATCACCTTTGTCTTCTCTATGTTAACTTGAAGTTCCTGTCTTCGCTGCTTATGTCTTTCTTCCAACCTGGTGGTTTTCACATGTGGATTTTCAAGCTTTTGTGGCATTAGGCATAAGTCCTCCATAAAATCCAGATCCTCTACAGTCTTTTTGTCGGCCCAACATATACCCATTTTTTCGCTCCTCACAGTTTGTTGCGTGATCCAGTCGACGACAATGAGGAATATCATTGGTCATATTAGGGAGGTTTTTCTTATTCCTGTCTTCATATCTCAAAGGCTTCGGTGAGCTTTTCGTTGTGAATCACTCGGCATATGGCATCATTTTATAGGATTACAAAAATGGGTGACAGAAATTTAAATCAAGTTGCAGAAAGTAATTAACATACCTTCTTCTAAAATAAATGCCACATTACTCTGAGCCACTTCATAACCTAATTCTGCTAAAAGTTGATATGTAACAAATGCCTCATGATAACGGCGATTATGGAAAGCAGAATATGCAGACATGAACATTTTTGACCAACGACCACGTTCAGCTACATTTTTAAAAAGCTAAAATAAATATTTAGAAAATAGTAATAGAATCTTGTCAAAATTGTCAAATTAAACCCAATTTACAAATACTAATTCATTTTATTTATATTATATTATCGTTTTAAGGAGTGTTTTTTTATAGACAGACTACAAAATCTTTATGATCTAACCATACAAGTCAACAAAATAAACGGCAAAAAATATAAAAGTATAAAGTATATATGAAGTAAAATATAAAATCTGGGTACGTTACGTTGATGATACATTTGTAATAATTAAGAGAAATGATTTAGAATATACCCATAAATTAATAAACAACATATTTGAAGACATCAAATTCACAATAGAAGAAATAGACAACAAAATCCCATTTTTAGATCTCTTAATCAGGAGAACCAACACAGGAAATTTAGAAACACAAGTATATAGAAAATCGACGCACACAGGTCAAATACTCAATGATAATAGATATAACCCTATTAGCCACAAAAGAAACTGTGTGCAGACATTGTTTAAAAGAGTTCAAACACATTGCAGCACTCCAGAGTTGAAAAGAATGGAAGAATGGTTATCCACAAAATTTCATCAAAAAGTGTCTAAAGTTGAATCAAAACACCAACAAAGAACCATCATCAAAGACCAAAAGGAAATTCATCCTACCATGCATGAGAAATATCTCTGAAATAACAGCTAGAATAATGAAACCGTTTGATATAGATGTAGCAAACAAACCAGTCAAATCACTTAATTCGATATTATGCAAACCAAAAGATCTAACAGAAAAAGAGGATAAAATTAATACCATCTACAAAATAAATTGTATGAACTGTAACAGGCATTACATCCGCCAAAGTGGGCGTCCCCTTCGAATTAGAATCCAAGAACACAAATCAACCGTGAAAAGACATGATATATATTCTTTAGTATCGATGCATATAGACAACTATGGACATCAATTTGATTGGGATTATGTCAAAATCTAAGACAGAGGAAACACCGAAAGTGCCAGGGAATTCCTAGAAGCCTGGTACGCAAACGAAAATGCAATTAACAAACACGTCAATATAGACGAAATATACCAACTAATGAAAAGTAAATCAGGTGACCAGAAAGTTTAAAATCAAAGTCAATAGAAAATGGTCAATACATATGTAAAGATGGTTACCGGGCGACGCAATCATATCACTCATGAAGAAATCTAAATCATTTCATTTAATCCTAAATACTGCGCTAAAGATGTCGTCCAGAAGGACGACGAAAGCTCTGCAACTAAACCAACCAGCTCAGAGAACACTATTAACTGCAAATATAAAAGTATTTTAAAAAATCATACATAAACATAACATAAACTAGAATGAACATATTTTGACAGAATGGTCAATTCCCCATTATAAGAGAACAGCTACGCATTAGCCGAAGCTGTGCCACTTTCAAACCCCACGCATAAATAAGAATTTTAAAAGTAAACAGCCCTACTGAACGGCGGATTCGAAATTTAGATTACGGTGAGTGAGTGGACTTCGATTCCTGACAATTTCAGAGCTTTTTTCATAAATGGTTTACTAATATGTAGTTTTCTTCACAGTGCAAATCGACAGTTAGTGATACTACTGATTAGTAACACACATTTTTGAATAAAGCAAGAACAGTTCGTACAGAATAGATTTACATTTATCTGTGGTAGCAGTTACACTGGAAGAACAGAAAGAAGGGTACATTTTCGATTTTCTGAACATGTAACAAAAAGCCTACAATAGTGCCATCACTAGACATCTCATCCATACGCATCATGAAGTGGACATCGCGAAATCCTTTAAAATTATCGACAGACAAGATAGTTCAGTTCTCCTCAGGTTTGCCAAAAAAAAATTAATATCAAGGGCTTGAAACTCGATTTATGTGTTCACAGAAAGAAGCAGTTATCAGTATTTCCTTGCCCTAGCAACTGAATGTCTTTATTCCCTTTCATTTGATTACGTAACCTTTGGCTTCAAACTCACCTGTTGACACAGTGTAACTGTTTGTATCTTGTTTCGATGATTTCAGTTTAACTCATCACACTGGTAGTCAGTTATTAGATAATTACCAACTTAATCATCTCTTGTCTTTATTATGTAACTCCTTTACCACTGTATGCAAAGATTTATTTTTGTCTACACTTGAACTTTCTGGGTTCAAACTATGTAAGTGTAATTTCTGAGCACTGTTTATTAAGTTTGGAGTCTAAGGATAAAACTTGGGCACTGGGCTAGAGTATATAAGGCACCTTGATATGATTATAAGCAGTAAACTGTGCTCATCAGCAAATACTGATGTATAACAGTGCATGATCTTATCGAAATAAAATTTTATCCATAATGGAAGTTTGGAGTTTCCTGTCATCAAATGACGTTACGTAACATTTCGAAGTATGATAAAAATTGTTCTATACGTCAAACTTAATTTCTTTAGGCTGTACGCATTTTATGAGAAGCCAACAAAATAAATGATGGTATCATCATATTTTGCACAAACTGTTGTTCATTTAAATTCATAATGGGGATTAAGTGTATGAAGTTTCTGAAAAAAAGAACATCTTTTTTGACTGGCTTTTGTACATTAATTTTTCTACAGATGCATCACATTTTTCTACTGAAGGAACATCTAGAAATCTTACCAAGTTATTCTCTTCATGCTGTGTGATAAATGTAAGATCAAGAATTTTACTGAGTATAAGAGTGTCGTATACATACTTCGAGTACCGTTTATTCTGCTAAATACAACCCCACAAACTAACTATTCGACTATATGAGAGAAGTAACTAAGACTCGTTTCTTGTTAACTTGATCATCTCGAGTTTAAGCGTTTTTATGCTTATAAAGCTGAGTATTTAACCAGAATGGTTAAGGAAAATGTATCTAAAGAAGTAGGCAGAAGATTATAAGGAAGCTACTGAATAAAAAATTCTTTACAATAATCAGTAAAGAAGAAAGCAAGGCAATACTTTCTTTTAGAAAAGTTTTCGACATTTGTGTTTCTTCAAGTATTGGTTTTGTAGGGATTTTGTTTGATTGCATGGAGGATTTAATCATGAGCTGACATCAGTTAGAGAACCACTAGGAAACCACCTGGGAGTACTGGACAGCTTTTTCGTCCCAGTTTGGGACTCCTCAGCAGTACGCACCCATCGGGATTCGGACCCAGGACCTTCTGGTTACAAGGCGAGCTCGTAGACCATTGAGCCACTGGGACCCGATCCAATGGTCCTTGAATTCTAACTTCTGCCAATTCACGACATAGCGCGACCACTTCGCAATGTCTTCTTCGATGAGTTACTGCCTCATCTTCAACCTGCTGTACCCTACTGGTCACGGCTTCCCACTAGAACCCCAGGTTAACTGCCTGAATAGGGCCAGTCACTAGTGAGCATCAGATTTGTGTTTCTGTCATCTATACTATTTTTGGCTTATTTCTCATATTCTCTACTTTATTCGCTGAACAAATGTGAGAGTTTATTATTATTATGGTTTATCTGTATGATCATAGTTGCTTAGTATTAAACTTTTGCCAAGATTCTTGTCCGATTATTATAATAATTTTTTTTAGTGTTATATCAAGCAGTTAAATTTATCTTACTTCTGAATACTAGTTTCAAAACCTTCTTTCAACCTTTTCACACAAATTCGTTTGATTTACTAAAATTGTACACCTTTGTATCACAATGTAATGCTTTGGTACATGTTTTTGAATTAGCACTGTACTCACTATCAATTACGCAGGATATTGAGTTGACGAGATTTGCTGCATTATTCTATGAATTCATTAAATCTTGCTTTACCAATTTGTATTATTAACTTTGAAATTATACTGAGAATGATGTGCTTTCAACTTAATCTTAATACCATTCTAAAAAAAGTTCACAGATATTTATAGTTCGATATTTTATTAATATATGGTGTTTCCCAGATGTCTACATGAATTTTGGAATTTGTCCTTCACGTTCTCCAGTGGAACATAGAGCTTCAAGCTAGTGGCTTGAAGTTTCTGTAGTAGTGTTTATTTTACAGGATAGGGTTGCTAGCCTCATGCCCAACCTTTCCTCCTTACCAGAATGATTTCTGGCTTAGCGAGGTAAAGGAGTTCGTCGGCCGGGGATCGAACCCCGGACCACGTACATGGTCGGCGAGCGTCCTAACCGCTGTGCCACCGACGCAGTTGTCTGCATAGTTCACTTTTAATTACAGGATTAAAGGTTATGATATACTACACTTATTACGGTGTGGTATACCATGCGTTTAACGCATGCAAATTATATGTGGTATGCTGTTTAATAGGCGGTTGTGTAAAGGAGGGGGGGGGCGTTTAGTCTTCTCATTTACCTCAACATCAATAGCCCCGTTTTTACTGTTATGCAGCATACTTTATATCAGGTAAATATTTAGATGTCTTATTACCAAGCAACTCTCATTTTCATATTTTAACCATTTTGCAAATGACAACGAATAATATGAGAAGCGTGAAATCGATAAAAGGAACTAGCAAATTATTTAGGTGTGTAACAACCAACCACCTTACAAAATACTACCCTAAAGAATGGAGTAATAAAACGCGGTAGCTAATGAACACCAGACAAAAGGAATAGTACACAGGTAAAAGCAAGAAATTGTTAATGTCGATACCACTTTGGAGACTCTAGAATTGTATCCTAATCAGAAATCGATATGATGGAAGTTTATTGATGGGATTTTCTAGTTTGAATGGTACAAAATTTTCCAATAGTCACGTACTACAAGCGTAAATGCATCAACCGGCAACAGTATTAGGTCTAAAGGGAATCTATAACTCTGTAATGTTGTTATGCAAAGGAGACCCAGGAGATCCCAGCACATTCAGAGGACAAGAAACATTTTATTACAAAAATAATGAAAACTATGAATCCAATAAACATATCGTTTTCGATGGATTCAAATATTCAGGCAAATATTTTATTTTATTGTTGACTCGCAAAACGCGTAGAACAATCCTGTCAGCATTTGGAGGTGTTCATTTAATTTACAGATCGCTTTCACTATTCTCTCAGTAATGATGATTAAAAATCTAGAGCAGATTTTAGTAAACACCACAGTAACTCAGATAAAAGATAGAAAGATAAAAGTATCTGAAATTTAAGAACCTAGGTCAGTTTTTCTGCTTTCTTCTACAAGCACAAACTGCATACGAAACTGCTGTGACATTTGTCTAATGTTGATATTTCAGGAAATAGTATGTTTATTTGATATTTACGGTGAAGCAATTTTATCCTAACTGTTGGTTAATTTCAAAATGAAAGAGAACTTTGTAGTGAGATCAACCACTGATGGGTAATAACAGGTTACAGGACACTTTGTAAACGGACTGCCTGATGATTAGTGAAGTGAAACACTTAAGTACCACAAAACTTCAACAACTCATTTATTGTACTAATCTATGTGCGCAACTAAGAAAATTATCAGAAACTACAGTGATAATTACAACACATCAAAAGATATGTAGTCTATGAAGTTAAACTGTACAATAACTGAATAACAACTAGTTGTTTCTAGGCCCCTGTCAACTTTTTTTAATTGAATTTGAGATTTTCCCGTCCATCGATTGGACCGAAGTGCTCGATCTGAGGTTGACATGTCGGCTTCTTGTGCAGATGCTTCGACGATATCTGGGCATTTAGTTAGTATTTAATTGGTGGATGGTGACTAGCAGTGGAATCCAGGATGCGCATTTCGTCCTATTTGGGACTCGTCATCTGGATGTAACTACATTTCTTAGTGAGTGATGATGTTCCCATCGAGGCTCGAACCTCTTCACGTGCTAGACTTTGATGCACACTTCTTGATTGAGGACCGATGATGATGCTACTCAGTAGTAGGTGTAACAGGACTCGAACCTGAAACACATTGGATGAAAGTTCAGTGTTTAAGCCAACGAGCCTTCCTCATCAATAACAACGAAAGATAGATAGATAGCAGTGAAAACTCGTAGTCATTAGTATGATACAGACAGCAAGGAAGTTTGAGGTAAACCAATCAATTTACCAGAAATATTTATAAGCACGTTCTACAGAGGAAAATTACAGTGGCCGTAATGCATTGAAACGAAACAATCTACAAATAACCAGTGGTTCACTGAGACAAAAGTAACTACTACGATTAATTATGCACACACACACTTCACATTTCTAAAAATTCACTTATATGAGGTGAAATCAGATAACACTTTTACTTACTTCGGCAGCAGTGCTACATGATCGTAATACTCCTGTACCTTTTGCATGCATCTCAGCCAAATGATAGAAAGCCATCACATTACCCTGTTGTGATGCCATAGTAAAGTATTTTAAGGCTAGTTTATAGTCTGCTTTTATTCCATGGGTACCTGAATATACAAAGAAAAATATTGTTGCAATTCAGCATAAAAACGTTGAAAATTCCATTCTGTATAATTAATATTATTTGGAATAAAGCGATTATTATTACTGATACATTAATATTATTTTTATAATACAAGAATTACGTAGAATTATTTCTTCAAAGATAGATTTATGTCTATGAAAATCATGCACAAACTATAGTAATGATTCACTACAAAACTGCGAGTGAATTCAGTTTTTTGTATCTTCGGACCTTTTTACTAAATAATATTTACTTAAAGAGAGATATCAGATATTCAGTTGTCACTGCATCTGTCACCCGTAAAAAAAGCACATTTTTAAATGATGAATGCTTTTATTTCGTGTTCTTTAGGCTGTAAAGTCCTCGTTGTCTTCCTTAACAACACTTTGAGTACCAACTTCAAAACGGAGTGGTTTTTTGGAATTCTCCATGAATGAAGCAATCTTTTCTGGTGACTTCATCAGCGACCAGTCAACTCCAGTAGTTTCCACGCATCGGTTAGCATTGACCGTTTAGAGTTTCCACCGTTCAAGATTACCACTTTTCCTTTGATGACTTGGTTTCCATAGTTGTCGAAGTATACTGACAAAAAGAAATAGATATTTATTCTCTTAACTGCTCTTGGACGCGAAGATAAAGAGAACCTTCACTTTGAGCAAGACACTTTCCCACAGTTGGTACATTTTACCTTATATATGGTCATCTAATCTTTTGGTTGAAATAGCAAAGAATGAAACGATTGTGTTGGGATGTGGGCAAATGTTTCCATATTCTGGTAGTGATTTAGAAATGTTCTTCATACATAGAAGGATTTTCCGTGTCATTCTCAAGAACAATGTTGTACGATTCAGCAGCAAACATCTGAGAAAGTTGCGTTAACATAAATTTTTTGGAGGACAGACTATTTATATGTTATGAGAACTCGTCACCAAAATGTAATCGTAATACTGAGGAGAAATTAAAAATTAGTTCGAAGTTAAGAATTAATAGAATGATCTATACGTGAAATGAGCAAGTTAATCACATTACCATACCTAAGAAGAGTCGACCAAGATACAATTGTGCTTCAGGCCAACCCTGATCAGCAGCTTTTAAGAATAACTCCATTGCAGTGACTGGTTTAGCTGGTAAACCGGCGCGGCCGTGTAGATAAGCTAGTGCCAAACCTGTTTGTCCGATTGGATTGTTTTCTTCAGCTGACTTGCGTAAATACTTCAAAGCTTTCGCTGAATCTGCAGGAAGAGCAGCACTACCAACCATGTACATCTTTCAAAACAAAACAATATTAAAAAAAATTTCTTTTACAAGGGTGTAATAGCTTCAAATTACAGAAATAAACTATTTGGAAGCAATTAATCAGAATAAGTCCTTCATGTGCCCAGCTGTCAGCGACACTTGTGGTGACACTATCCAAATGCCCAGGCTGAAGTAGGTGGAGCAGGATTTGAACTCCAAACCCACTGGCTGAATTCCGGGGACTTAAGACAATTAACTACATCCCCATGTTATTCGAATCAAACAGTCCTTACAAATATGGCTGATGACTTGATAAGGATATAAAGAGCCTTAGATGCTGCTTGGTACAAAGTGCCTACAATTATCTAAAAATGTAAATGAGATAAGGCATATAGCAGCAAGATACCGCATAATTATTCAAGGTGAACTTTTTAATAAGCTTGTTTCTACTATCCTACTTTTGTTACTTAATAAAACCACGGACTCAGCAAATTAGCACGGGTTGAAATCCATAGCAGTGATACAGATGTATTCATTCTTAATTATCTTTAAAATTCATCTATTTTGGAATTGTGTTTTTCCTTTTCCCTTCCAAGTTGTTACTAAACGTGGAAACATAAAAATATAAGCACTCTTCAGATGCTATATGGCGAACAGCTGTAGTAAAAAAAGAGGATAAATTGTTCATAATTTTCGAAATTAGGAAAAGAACTTCTGAAGATGAAATACTGTTTAATGAGCTGAGTTAAATTACTGTACAAACCTCGCCTAAATAAGCCATAGCTATGGCACTTCCAGATTCTGCAGCCAGATTAAAGTAGTAGAAGGCTTTTTCATGATCCATTTCAACACCGTGTCTACCATAATAGTATAATTGACCCAAGCCAATCATTGCACTGACATTCTTTTTATACGCCATAAACTGATAATACTGGAATAAGTCTTCGCTAATTGTAAGGTCTCCATCCTGACTATTCGCATCCACTTCGTCCAGCAGACGTGCACGCCGTACCATAGGTCCAAGGAGAGTTGGACCCCCAGCTTCAGAACGTTCAGATACTTCTTTAAAGACAACTTGGGCCACTCGATGATAATGTGTTAATGCTGCTTCACAATCTTCCTCAACACCCACACCCGTCCAATAACGATAACCCTAATCAAAGTATAAAAAGCGTAACAAGATGAAAATAAACCGAAAACCATTCGAATGGTTAATTTTTCACTCATAAGTGAAAATTAACAACCAGCACACTAGCATCATAGTAATTAAGTTACAGAACGTCTTTGCAAACGAAAATAACATTCAGGTAGAATACAAAGGGATTAAGAGTTCATTTTAATCACAAATCGTTCAAAATAGAAATATATAGAGGGACTCTAACACTAACTGACAATTATGTAAGTCTGCTAGTAATTTAGTTGTGTCCAATTACGTGGCTGAGCTGCGTGCATCGTCTTCAAGGGATTACTGGTCCGCAACCAATCTCCAGAGGTCAGTTAACAATTACTTGACATTGACAGCTGATATCAAACACTTGAAAAAGCAATAACCACGTACGTAGGTTTACTTGCTCATCAATCATCAATAGTTTAAAATTATTGTGTTCCAAATTGCCACAGCGGATAAATACACCTGAAGGTATACACCACAAGTGAATGGTATCATGAGAGCAATAAAAACACCACAAAATTGTGGAAGTAAGTTATTTTCCTTGGTAACACGCTTATCTACTAGACGAACAAGAATACCCAGACATTCGGTAGAAATCTTGCAGACAGAAAATAACAACCATATTACAATACAAAAATGGCAACCACAAGCATCAATAAACCTTTCGGGTTATTCAGTCAGTAATGTAGTGTCATGCAAGTGAAATCAACAGTGGCCATAAAATAAACATCCAAAGATATCATTCTTTTTCAAACCATCAAGCCAATCTCTAGAAGATAAGATGCTTGGTAAGGGAATGTCTATTTGAAATTCGTTATCTCTATATAGCGAAATTATGCACAATTTATCTTCAAATCACCACTTGCACAGATCTTCCGTATTGTGCCACTTCTGTCATTCATATTGTGTTTCTTTGTGCTCCTTTCACGTCTCCTGTTTTTCAGCAAGCTGAACTATTTGCTTTCTCTGACGTCAAATCTATCTTTCTACTTTTTGATTTCTTTTCAATGCCGATGTACGTCTCCTTGTATACTACTGATATATCTTATCAGTAGCACAAGCCACAAATCTACTATTTAGTTATCAGGGAGCTCACTACACATATAAGTTAAACTTTAATCTGATTTTTCTTGACTATTAATTCATTTAAAATGTAAACTTTGATACTATGGGCATCAAGAAACATGCCACACAATTACTCTTATGAATGACTCAGAATTTGAAATTATGACCGGAAAAGTGAATGGAAAAATTCACTGATACTCTAAACTTGGATATAACACCTAGGAGAAGTGATGATGATGAGCTCCGGTATATATAATTCATGTTTCTTATTATCATAAGAAATTACTATCCCTGAAACACTGAATATGTTCAAAGGGAAAAGAAAGTACAGAAATACAAATTATCATGAAATGAAGTTGTTTAGTTGTGTACGTTGTGTGCGTCGGTGGCAAAGCGGTTAGGATGCTCGCCGACCATACACATGGTCCAGGGTTCGATTTTCGGCCGACGAACTCCTTTACCTCGCTAAGCCAGAAATAATACTGGTAAAGAGGAAAGGTTGGGCATGAGGCTAGCAACCCCATCCTGTAAAATTAAGCACTGCTACAGAAACTTCAAGCCACTAGCTTGAGGCCCAATGTTCCACTGGGGATGTGAAGGAAAAAAAGTTATGTACGTTAGATTGTAACATGTCTGTCTGTTTTCGACATAGAACTTTGCACAAATGTGCGGCAGTTCAAGTCGCCACACTCCGTCTAGCACGCGAAGCAAGAGAAGAAAGTACAAGAAAAGCATGATAGAGACAGTGAGCAGAGGTGTGAGACAAAGGAGTAGTAACGAAGAACAAAACAGTTTCATTGGAAATCATAAGTCACAAGGAGTAGATGCATCTGCACCACTGAGAACGATTTTGAGCTATGTCACCAACTGTTTCCAACCATTGATTTTTACCGTCCCGAGGACCCCAGCCTGGAAGTTTACATCTTCCTACGTGGCTTAGACCAACTGTTGTGGATTTCATTGACTGGTGCCAAGTTTTTGTTTGACCGCCGCTAGCTTTTTTCCAGCCTGACCCTATATCCGCTAACATTGCTCGTCGAGGGAGGCGATGACTTCGCATACGTAACACATGTCCTAACCATCTCAGTCTTTGTAACTTCACGACTTCGTCGATTGATTTCCCCTGTTTACCTAGAACTCGACGCCTAACCTTAATACTGCTCACCTTATTATGCCACTTTACACGGGAAATAGAGCGCAGGCACCTATGATCAAAGACAGCTAGTCTTTTCATGTCTTCCACTCTCAGTGGCCAGGTCTCACAGCCCATAAAGGAGGACGGAGCGGACTGATGAGCAGTACACCCGCCCTTTGGTCGATAGTCGAACATCTCGTCTACGCCAGAGTCGGCGTAAACTGGCAAATGCGAAACGAGCCCTCTGTATTCGTGCTGAGATTTCGTCAGAGATCAACCCGTTGGCAGTGGCTGATGGTACTTCCCAAATAAGTGAAGCGGTCAACGTGCTCTACCACTTCACTTCCTATTTTTAAACTAGGCGTCGATGTAGTCCAGTCCTGTAACATCATCTTGCATTTGGCGGGAGCGAATCGCATGCCAAACATTCGTAGATTGCTGCTCAAGGTGTTTAGAAGACTCTGCATTTTGTCAGCGTCTTCGCCTAGAAGGACTATATCGTCTGCATATTCCAAGTCAACGAGATTATTCCCTGGTAGCAAGTCAATCCCTGAGTCGCTGAAGTCACCTAGGGTTAAGTCCATTAACACATCTATGATGAAGTTGAATAGAAAAGGGGATAATGGGCATCCTTGACGGACACCACTGGTCGTCATCAGTTCAGATGACAGCTCGCCGTAAGCCCTCACCTGGCTGTATGAGTACGAGTAGAGTGCCTTAATCAGTGCAATATATTTTCTCGGAATTCCCTTTACAGCCAAGCATCTCCAGAGAACTTCCCGATCGACAGAGTCGAATGCTGCCTTTAGGTCAAGAAATATAATGACTGTTGGACGCCGGTAGGAATGCCTATGTTCTAGAATCTGTCGGAGGGTGAAGATATGATCAATACACCCTCTTCCTGGTCTAAAGCCTGCCTGGCTCTCTCGTGTTTGTGCTTCCCGAGCACCACTCAGTCTACGCATGATTATTGAGCCTAAGACTTTAGATACTATATTAGTCAAGCTAATCCCTCTGTGATTATCACAGGAAGACTTGTCTCCCTTCTTGTATATGGGGATAATCAGTGACTTACACCAACCCGATGGGACTTCTTCTGATTCCCAGACGCTGCCTAGTACCTCAGTTAATCCAGACAGTAAGCTGTCTCCACCGTACTTAAATACCTCTGGAGTCATTCCATCAGGTCCCGCTGCTTTGCCTAGTTTCAGATTGGTGACAGCTTTAGTAACCTCAGTTAGGGATGGAGGACCTGTGTCTATATCCCATTCAGGGAGGTGTTGGATGCTCGGAAGGTTGAGCGTGGCTGTGGGCCAATTAAACTGCTCCTCATAATGCTCTTTCCAACGATCCAGTCGTCTATCCTGGGAGCTAATTATAGTGCCATTTTTTTCCGAGATTGTTTCACTAATGATTTGTCTTCTCCCACCCGTTTCCCTGATGAGTCTAAGGAGTTGCCTGGTGTTGCCTATCCTCGAAGCTTTCTCCATCTCTTTGGCTTTTGTCACCCACCACTGTTCACGGTCCTTGCGGAGACTTTTCGTAAGTTTCCTTTTGTGCAGCTTTCGCTCCTCATTGAATTCGGAGCTCGCCGGAATAAGTCTTCTAGCATCTATCAGTTCGGATGAGGCGGTGGAGATCCAGTGGTTTTTACTCACCTTTGGGTTTACCTTATTCACAGCTTTTACAGCTGTATCTATGGCTGCCTGGATATTCTTCCAAGCTTCTTCAGGGTGAGCACAGCTGTCGAACACAGATATGTGTTTAGCTAGTTCTTCCTCAAATACGGATTTAGTTTCCTGATCGAGCTGGGGACGTGATGGTTTTACCGCCAGCTGTTTCCTACGTCCGTTCAGTCGTAAGCACACCCGAGCGCGGACCAGTGCATGGTCGGTATCTACGCACGTGTTCCAGAAGGAGCGACAATCTCCTACCGACCCACGCCAACGATAGCTTATTGCTATGTGGTCTATTTGTGTCCAGCGTTGGTTTGATGAAGGGGTCTCCAAGTCAAACAGTGTCTCTCCTTGTGTTTGAAGTTAGTGCTTACAAGAAACAAATGATTATCAGAACAGAACTGTAGGAGACGGTCACCGTTGTCGGTTCGCTGGCACGGAACTCCATAGGTGCCACCGACATCCTTCTCAGATTGACACAATTTCCCTACTTGAGCGTTAAAGTCACCAGCTAGAACGACTATGTCTGAGCGTTTAGCCTTTCGCACCAAACTAGACAGCTTTTGGTAGAACTCATCCTTCGTTTCATCTGAACTGCAGTCAGTGGGGGCGTAGGCGGAGATTACGAAAAGGCATCGGCGAGTAGTGCAGTCCTTTCTCCTTCTTACTGATCCGTTCAGACGGACAGCACACATTCGGCTATCTACCGGGATCCAGTCAAGCAATGTCTTTTCTGCCCTAGTACTCAAAGCTATCCCTACACCAGCTAATCCTCGTGAACTAGCTGTGGCATCTCCTGACACCCTCAAGGTGAATTTTGCAGATTCAACCTGTTGGCCAGGTGGGGTTAGGTGAATAACCACACTTGGGTCTTGTATGCGTGTTTCTGAAACACAGCATACATCAATGGCTCGGGATGCCAGGGTCTTGGCTAGTGATGCTTGTTGTCCTATTTGGCAAAGTGTCCTAACATTAAAAGCTCCTATATGAAATTGGTGGCGTGGCTTTAGGAGGCTGTCGGTGGTGGTTTTTTGGCTTCCATCGTTTTTAGTGGACGCAGAGTGAAGAGGAAGTGAGGAGCTATCAAGTAGAGGAGTTGCATCAGTGGAAGGAAGGCAAGGTGATAGAGATGAAGATGAAGACAAAGATAAGTGAGGATTAGAGAGGTTTCGTGTGCATTTCGGATTGTGAGGGCGATTGTTACTTCCCGGCTGCCCACACCGTGGAAGTTGGTTGCGTGACCGCAGAGCCCAGGGGACAACTGCTTGAGGCCGGTCACACGCGGCCTGTTTTTGTTTGTTCTCTTTTGTTTGGTGTGCCTCAGTAGCATACTTATCACTCCTGCCCTGTGACACGGCAGCAGGAAGCGCGGTCGTTGTTAATCCGGGCCACGGCCGATCCGGCATGAAATTTTGGGATTTTGTATTTATCATGATGTTGGATCGGGTCGCTGCTTTTTGTTTAACCGCTATCCAAACAACCTGTCTGGCACGGTAGGACCTCTGTCTGTCTGTCTGTCTGTTTTCGACATAGAACTTTGCACAAATGTGCGGCAGTTCAAGTCGCCACACTCCGTCTAGCACGCGAAGCAGGAGAAGAAAGTACAAGAAAAGCATAATAGAAACAGTGAGCAGAGGTGTAAGACAAAGGAGGAGTAATAACGAAGAACAAAACAGTTTCATTGGAGATCATAAGTCAAGAAACATAAGTCTCAGCCAGTATAGCTTGAATAGATCGTTGCTGTGTTCAAGCCCGACCACCATGTCAAGGTAGCAGCTTTCGGTCGGGAGATTGTAACATGACAATACCACTAGTTGTTTTTTGATTGGAAAACTATAGATAGATAGGCACTAACAATTGCTAAATAACTTGTAAATAACTATTTAAACTATAAAAAATCCACTAGTGTATCTACTAGATTTTAGGAAAGTGTTTGTCAACGACACAGTGGCAGTGGAACAGAACTCTCTGTATTATGCAAAATTTAGGCGACGGAAAATATGAATATATCATACCACCTACACACTATGAGAAGTTAAACAGTAAGATAATAATGACTCATATTAAGTAAACACAGAACTTCAGCAATCTGTATGAACAAATATTCCAAAAATACAGTTCGGTAATCACGTTCAGACTCGTGTTCGAGGGGACTATTTTAGTAGGCTCAAAATTACATAGGGAAGAGGCCATTGCAGCCAATTCACAAAATTCAGAATGAAAATAAACAATGCATGACAGCGCCGTGTCCCGTAGCTTAATGACCACATTGTACTCAGTCAATGGGTTTCTAAAAGCATTTAAGATTGGAAAACGACGTTGGTTAATAATTAGTATCATTGTCTAACAAATGACTGGAACAGAAATTAACTCGATTTCTTCTAATCGATGTATCCAAACCTCCCCTCTGTATGTGTAATTTATGAGGAGACAAAAGAAGTCGCCGTTTCGAACGCAGTACGAAATTACAAAAAAAACTGCTAATTATCAGGAAAGAAATGATGTTATAGATAAGACGAAATGAATTACCAGTGCCATATCTGCAAAGTTATCGCCTCCGAGAGCAGCAAATGTAAAATATATCAAGGCATGTGGAATGCTTGCGTTAACATGTAATCCGGATGCATACAAAAACCCCAAACCGAATTGACCACGAGGATTTCCACTATTGGATAGTTGCTCGAATGCTGAATAAGCATTTTGAAAAGGATCTGTCGTATGACCTCCAAGTAATGTCAGCAAAGCAAGCTGTTCTTGAGCCTTTGTATAACCCTGTCTGGAGGCCTCATTTAGTAGTTCCAGAGCACTATATCATACAAAATAAAAAATCAACATTAACGAAGTTAACATAATGAAGAATATTATAGAAATTGGAAAACGTAGAGGATGTTAAAATGTATGGTAACTGAAAGTTAGCAAAGACATACAATTACCTTTTGCCAGCAGATGACTGAATGTCTCCTTTCTCCAAAAGATTCATAGCTTCTTCATACAATTGTTGAGGTACACTTGAATCCTGAGTCTTCTTTTCATTTGATAATGGATCGGTCTTTTTTTCTGAGTTATCATCTAAAAGTTAAAATCTATAGATCAACCTACCATCGACCGATGAAGTGCCATCAGTTGTAACATCATTAATACTCAAGTCGAGCATAAATTCATCTGTTGATCCTCGTTCTGAACGTTATAAAAAGAAGTTTGCGTTACCTCCATCTTTTAGATGTGTGTCTAGTGGACTATCTGTTGGCTCTGAGCTAACATCTGGATCTTCTTTATCCTTTAAAATTTGAGAGAATACTATTCAAATATAGTAACAATAAAATTGCCTTACATAAATCAGGTTCTAGAAAATCACGTAGGAATTTCTCGACAGTTTCCGGATCATCCAATTGTTCTAGGTCACTTTTAACTTTCTTTTTTTCTTGAGTTGTTTGAACGTCAACACCACCTAGAGTAAGGTTAAAACATATTTTATCAAAAATCCATCTTAAAACATTTTACACAAGTATGGACAACAGTAGATAGGTTTTAGTTGCCATAAGAACACTGAAATTGAAGTCAAAAAGAAATGTGACAAAAAATTGAAAATATCGCCTCTAACTATTGCTGGAAAAGCCAGGTGCTAAAGAGAAAGGTCATTAGAAAACTGAAACTTGAAATTTTGGTAAGGCTAAGGCGTAAATGTGTCTACGCCAAAGAAAGCTGAAATGCTCGGTTACCACTTAGGACTCCAGACATCTAATATGGAATAAATATAAGATACAAAGTACAGGTAATCAACTAAACACTTAAGGTGAAGGTAATAACTAACCAAGAAAACAAGAATACATACACGCTTAACTACCGGATGAGCAACAAAGATTTCACACTATTGTACTTTAATCACTAAAACCTCAGAATTAAGCGAAACCTGGTGTTCGAAATATACTACGCAAAACTGCTTCTCTTATTACTCTGAATAATAACAATGATTGCAGTCATTATTTAACGATATCGCTTAGAACGAATTTTTGATTTAAACAGAATTTTAAAGAAGGTCCAACATTACTGCTTACGATGGCGAGAATAAGGTGAGGATAGTTCAACCTCTTACAGTAGAGAGTAGTGACAAAACTTTACCCTATGTTGTTGGTTTTCTCTCTCTAAACAACAAGGTAACTAAACTGAATTTTCAACGTAAAGCTTTGGACAAACAACTATAGATTAGAACGGCTAGCTTCTTCCTATCTCCCACTTTCAATGGCCACGTCTTACAGCCATCAAGGACGGGACGAATCGCTGTGCAGTGCACACACTCCTTGGTCGATAGCTGGACATTATGCCACGGCCAGAGATGACGGAAGTTTACAAGTGCCACAGGATCTTTCTCTACTCACGCTATTTCGTTAGTACTGAGTCTAGTAAGGCTGGTGGAACTTTCCAAACAAGTGAAGTGCTCAAAGCGCTATCTTCGAACTAGGAGTCTGTGCAGACCAGTCCAGATGCACCATTTTATATTTGATAGGGACAAACCATATACCGAAAGTACTAAGATTTCTGCTCACGGTATTCAGAAGACTTTTAAGACTGCAAATACCCATTGAATCACGAAGAATGCAGTACACCTGCTCAGCACCTTCTTCATTACCAGATATTATTCCAGTCGATAAAATCAGATGCTGTCTTCAGGTTAAAACCTATGGCAAGTGTTAGACACCGCTAAATATCTATATGTCCCAAGATCTAACAAAAGGCGAAGTTCAATAAACCTTCGTCCGAATCTCAAACCCTCCTGGTCTTTACGGGTTTGTTTCTTTTAAGCACTGCTGCGTCTATGCAGAAATACAGATCTTAGAACCTCAAATATTATGTTGGTTAAACTGAGTCTCCTAAGATTATCTTGGGTAAATCTGCCGGTCAGCTATTAGCAGAACAAAGCGTTCTGAAGACTGTGTCTGAAGCCATTTTTTGTTCACGTTTTCAATCATTTCTATTCTTTATGTGCTAAGAATAGGAGAGATGAAGATGAAAACCTGTTAGAAATCATCAATAAGGACAAACTTCTAAATATGAGAATCAAATGTATCCGGCAGCTAAATGGCTAGTTGATATCGAAAGGATAAAGATTGCATTCTTTTGATTAATTGTTCTTAAATAGAGATAGTAAATGGAAATCAAACTTGTTTGGGTGGTATCCTGACAAATTTTTATGGCTTCCTATTTAAAAGGCCTAAAAACCCAAATTCTGACGAATAAAGCTGACACTGAAATGGCACGCCATGCACACCCTAAATTAAACTAAGCACTGAATAGTTCCGGCTAATTCTAATGTTGTTACCGTTATCTAGATGTTATTAGAATTTCTATGAGTTAAACTAACCATTCACTTTACTAATTATGATCCTAAATGGATTATCTATTAACGGTATATAAAGGAGACATCACAAGTGAAGTGGTTACCAATCGCCTCAAACTTCATAAGTACATTCTTGGAACAACGAAGTGCAGCAGTGAGTATCACTCCGCACCGAGAGACTTCAAAAATAATGATATTGGTATCAAAGTAAGTTTATATGACTATCTCCTTGTGTGACATGTAATCCAAGCACAATGGCTGTCTCCGTAGAATAGTATGATGACTACTAAGGTTACTAAATTTTAGCCATTCAAAACAATCAAGTGAATGACACTGAGTTTATCACATGAGATGCAATTCTTCCCAATAGTGAGAGTTAAATCCTTAGAGTAAACGGGTTAAACCAACCAACCAAGTAACTAAAATAAAAGTATGCTTCGTGAAAACGCAAGCTTCACCAAAGACAGTGAAAGCAATATAAAGGCGATGCTGCAAAGATTAAGTAAAATCCCAAATTGTGGAAGATTTGAAGCTGAAAGACATACTTCAATACGAATTCGTATTCAACTACTTTCTGGTTTCAACCAGAAAGTGAAATAACATCTTAACTTGTAACTAGTCATAAATCTCACTTTTAACAGCTTTAACAATTCGCCACACTTCCTTTAATGTACTAGGTAGCTCCCCAGTAATGCAGACCGTGACCTTTATAAAACATGACCAATTAATTGGTTTCAATAACGAAATTCACTTAGTGGGATCAGTACATGATGTGCTGTCTACGTAGGATACAGGTGTCACGTACATTAGGAAATGGTCAAAATATCACAAATTTATAAACTCTCAATGTTTCCTTCGAAAGGACAATGGGATGCGACTTCAACACAGATGAAATTTAAATCCAGACTAACACTGAACAACATGGGCTTACCACTCTTTTTCTTTGATCTTATATCCTCTGATGTGCCAAGACAAACAGAGAGGATATATATGAGTACCAAACACACAGATAGACGTGTTGGATATTTCACTAGGCAAAAATAAAACATCACTAGAAATATCCAAAAAACGCGCCGCGGGTTAAAACGCGTGTGTCTCCTATTCGCTGGACCACTGAAGGTCACGCAGTACCCTATAAGTTAGCGTATGGCGAATGCTCACCTGCTAATGTTTAAGTATCTATTATTTTGTACAGTTTCAAGGTTTAAGATATCAATACATTCCATTTTAGACGTTTCGTAGTCGAGTTATATGTGACATGAGATTCACATACTCCAGCTTATTTGACAGAGGATAGAGGGCTTCAAGCTTGTTAATCATTTTCTAATAAATATACATGCTTATTTAATTCATTCTTAAACGAGTCAATTAAAGATGCACACACCCTTTCTTCTGGAAGTCTGTTCTTAGAGTTTATGGCTCCGTGGGAGAATTAGAACTCTCTATTTATGTCCTTTGACATGTTCCTGGTGGGAGGACAAAGAGATTATAGACCAGGTCCATAGTCACTGCTTAGAATTCTGAAAATAATAATGTTGTCTCTTTTCCTACGGTATGACGAAAAGAGATCCAGAGAGTCAGGTTTTTCTTCTTATGATAAATTAACCAAATGAAGAATCGTTGGTGTGACATTTCGTTGAAATCTTACTGAAGTGTATAAATCCCCCTTAAGAATAGGATTGGTTGCTGGGGTGAAGTTTTTTATTCTGATCTCTCTAGAGATTCGTGGACATTGTGAGCGGTATATATAGATGCGTGCGAGTGCTGATCTCTAATGTACTTTAATAGAACGGCTATGGACTTTTATGTAGTTTCTAATGCCTCATTTCTTTTCCCCGAGAAACTTTGTCAAGTGGAAAAACAAATGCCGATGACATAAAGTATAAATAAAAAACTACTCACCAAGTAAGATGACACTGTTAAAAATCATCACACTAGTGATTCCTGCATTTCAGTCGTCTTCATTTTGCTGAGCCTAAAATCTTCGTGAGCAGGACGAGGTACGCGTATTCTTTAGTCAGCAGTTACGAGGGCTAGGCTAGGCAGTCAGCGGGTAGTGTGACTATCTCTAAGTTCTAGCAGGATCGATAGCCACACGTCAACCGTGAACGTTACGTTTAGTCGAAACCAACTGGATATGAGTTCAAAATCATTCAAGCAGTCCAACTAACTGGTTTTCTAGAGTGCTACTTTGTAACTCATCATGGCGGTTAATAAAATACCCGGGCTTCGTATTTCCAGAAGTTTTTTTCAAAACGTTTTTGGGAAACCTCACTAAATCCAAGTTCATTAGCCTCACATAATGTCTCTGAGAGGGAATTTGATTGAAATAGCGTCGTTACCAGACAAAAAGTAACTGACTGGCTACTCAGCAATGCTTATAAAGACGATAAAACGGCCGAGAAATGACATTTCTACTGATTCAAGTTCTGTTATAGGAGGCTAAAGAAGTCCATCAGGTCAACTGAACCTCAGCCTTTTTTCGTGAATGATTAATCTGTTTATCCATGCCGACTGAATGATATGGTGTTCAACTGGGTTTTCAGAGAAAAACAGCTAGACAGTTTCGTACGGTTTTATTGTGTATCTCAAATCGTCACCAATTGCTGCATTTTAGCAGGTGTGAGCTCTGTATTCTACACCCACTAGTTCAGATAGTGTTATGAACAGCCTGGCTACCAGGTTAGCTAGGCCGGGCCACGGAGTTAGCGAGTAGTGTGGCCAGAGCTTAGGTCTAGCACAGTAGATAGCCATGCAGCTATCGCGAAAGTTATTTCGTTTGAAACCAACTGGAAGAGAGCTCGAAGTCGTTCGAGCAACCTACCTAACTAGTTTCTCAGACTACCTATAGACGTATTTGATCCCAGATAGTGTTCTCACTCGTCTTGGCTTCCCCCCACCGACATTTTGATATTTGGTAACACTTTCTGGTAACTTACGGGAAGAACTTACTATTGTTCCAAATAAGTAAGGCCGGATCAGGTAATTTACATAATCAAGTGGTCCTGTGAACTATGACCAAAATTTGCCTAAGGTGAGTATACTTTTGATAACTTTTGATTCTGAACAACTGTAATATAATACTTGACTATCTCTAACTACTTTCGTCGAGTTTGATGTCACGTTTTCTTGCCGTATCGCCAGTCAGGTCCACCAAGTTGTTCACAGCTGCCAATTATTACTGAAATTTGTGGAATCCACTGTTATATATGAGATACTGATGATAAAATCAACGCCAATAAATTTGATACATATCGACGTAGGCAGCGTATACGTACAATTTATTGACTATTAATACCATTCAAAATTTAGCTGCAGGCGCACTATATTCAAAGAACTCTACACAAGTGATCGATTTGGTGGGTTATTTCATATAAATGAAATCACCAGGGTAAAAATTTTGCTAAGTTATGCTTTAACGACTGCACTGCTAGTAAATGCAAGTAATTCACCACATTAGGGAGTGTGTGGGCAGTATTAGGCTGCTAGCAGCAACAAGCGACAGGTACTTTCCGGTCCACGTGCAGTTAGAAGGTATTTTAAACCTCGAAGTAATCCATAAAAAGCGACCTTTTTCAAAAACTCAACTGTTAATATTTGAAAGTAAACAACCCGTTATTGCAGGCGAAAATTATGTACATAACTATTAAATGCTAGTAATTGTAATGGCAACTCTAGACTCAGAAGCAGAACAGAAAATGGCCTAAGTAAAGAAAATATAGAAAAGTGTATGAACGACTAAATAATTGTTTCATGCAATTAGCTTTTAGTTGAATAAATCAAAAGATGATGCGGCACATCAAAATTTTAGGTCATGGTATACTTGCTGCTTCTCAGTTTTACGTGGGAGTTTCGAAGGTTTGGGTTATTAGGAGTTGGGTGGCGGTCCGAGATAGCTGGTCCTATACATTCCAGAATTTACAAGCATTATTAGTTTATGAGGTATGAAGCACGCGTCACAGACTGATCCTGGATATGGTACTTGAAAAATCTGACAGTTCTGCAGTCACTGATATGTAAAACACTACTGTATTGTTGTCAGCATTGAATTTATCGACAGATCTCATGACGAAGGTTGCTCAAATCTTTGGCAGATGTACTAACAATATTCTAAATGTGTACAAAGTGTGGGTTCTGAGAATTTCAACACTGCACCAGAATAATACTAATTTAGAGGTTGGCATTACTTTCTCAACGCCGATATCCAGGGCATTAATTGTGAAAGAAAAGGAAGGCGGAATAAAACTGTAAGAGTTGTGAAGTATCTTACAAATGTTGATAGCTTAAAATAAGCGATGTTCTATAAATATAGGGTTAATTGTCCACCGAAAAGTTACAGCTGTGGCATTTTATAGCATTTCACATTAACGGTGAGTTAAAATGTTGTCAGCCAACTCCCAGAAACTGTCAATGTCCAGCTCTTACTACGCTGGACCTCACGCCGTCTCTATAAGACGCTTCCGGGAAAGACTTAGTTGTCAAAGAGTTGGAGAGATTTTTCTCAGAGCTTGATAGAGTTTCTGATTTTATTAATGCCTGCTTACACAACGTTGATGTCCATTCGGAATGTGCTCCTGCTTTCATGGAATCCCGTGTTAGGTTATTGTGCAACATTCCGGCACTTGTTTCCAACTTGAAACATGGAGGTTGTTCTTATTTTACCGACGATAGTAGTTTTGTTAAAAAAGTCTTGTCTGCTTTTGAACGTGTTCCTGAAATTTCAGAAAGAAGCTGTCAATTTATTGGTCTGGCAGTTAGTTGTCTCTGTATGACAGGATATATTGAACTCGTATCAGATTTCATCATTAAACAGAGTATTGGAAATACAATCCATCTGTGGTCAAAGTTTCTAAAATATGTCAACGCCAAAGCCTTGGAGATAACATTATCACCGTTGGCTAAGAAATGCCCTACTTCAAGCATGTATTATGCGTTGATATCTGAACTTCTAGAGACTTCCACTGGCTTTGATGCATATATGAGACTATGTTGTCGTCTCTTCTATATTCGCCAATTTCGAGCAGGTAATACCATCAGAAACATTTTCAGTTCCTTTTGTTTGGCGGTGAAAAAACGCGAGTCTCAGGAGAAGTCCATCCAACTGATTGAACAAGCCGATGAAAATTTAGGCTTACCTGCTCTTAGTGTGTGGTCAGATGTGAGTTCGATACAATCAGCTTCTTTAGAAAGACGTATATACATATCTCAGATTTTTATTTCGTGGTTCGTTGATTTCCGGAATGTGCTGAGTTCTCAATTTACGATAAGAGATGATGATCTGTTACCTGATGTTTTATCTGGCATTTCTAACCACCTTGCCAGTCCAAGAATCGAGATACGTACTCTTGGTATCGTTATAGGAGAGTGGATCGTAACACTTCTCAAATGGGATACAGGAAGTGAAGATCAAAAGCTAAAATTTGATTATGTGGAACTAGAGTTCCTAAAACAAATCCGGCCATATTTTGTTTCTCTGGATGAAAATCATGGAGTGGAATCTAACCTACAGGCTACCATTCCCACTGAGACAATATCGGGAAGCGATTCTCACGAAGATACTGTCGCTTCACGTGACCACGAGTCGAATGGCGAAGATAGCACTGTAAATCAAAATGTACATGAATTGGATAGTGATGATGATCCAGATTCAGATAATGATTCTTTGAAACCACTTCCCTCTACTCAATGTTCAAGTCACAGTGATAAAACTCCTCATTATCTTCGCGAATGCCTCGATGGAATGCTACTAACTAAAGTTGAAGATAGCAAGGTAAACGTTTCATGTACCCTATCTGCAGAGAAGCTCATTCGTGACCACCCGGAAGCAGCTCGAGAACTGGCTCCAGAATTCACTAATGCGCTTATTCAGGTTGAACCACCCGTAACTCCCGATCAAAAAGAAGTAGCCCATGCTAGACATAAAGCCTTAATAGCTATTGGAGTGGTTGCCCCCAAAAAATGTGCTCGATATCTGATATGTATCCACATATATATATTTATGTGTGTGTGTGCATGTTGGTCTCTCTTTCTGTTTGCTCGCTTAGTCTGTGACCATTTCACTTGTGTGAACTTGTCTCCTTTAATAATGTATATTCTTCCTATATTATATTATATATAATATGAGTGTTTGTTGACAGTCCGTTGCTTGGTGACAT